ATCCTATTAGAGGAGGTAGTGCCAAGATACGGGGTACCTGAAACCATAGACTCAGACAAAGGACCGCATTTCACCTCAAAGGTAACCCAAGATCTAGCTGACTCCCTGGGAATAAGGTGGGAGCAACATACCCCTTATCATCCCCAGAGTTCGGGAAGGGTGGAAAGAATGAACGGAGAAATAAAGAAACAGCTAACCAAATTAGTATTGGAAACTAAATTGTCCTGGGTAAAGTGCATACCCCTGGCATTACTGAACATTAGGACACAACCCCGGGCGGACACAGGGCTATCCCCCTTTGAGATGCTGTATGGAATGCCCTACAACTTGGAAAAAGTACAGATAAACCCCAATATCAGTAATAAGAGTCTGAACAGTTATTTGATTACCTTGGAAAAATACAGGAAAAAACTATGGGAAAAGGGAATGTGGGTTCAACGACCTCCTTTGAATCTTGTATTACACCAGGTTCAGCCAGGAGACTGGGTGTTAATCAAGAGTTGGAAGGAAAATCCTTTAATCCCAAAGTGGGAAGGCCCATATCTTACCCTGCTTACCACTGACACTGCGGTGAGAACTGCCGAAAAAGGGTGGACTCACGCCAGTCGAGTAAAAGGACCAGTGAACCCTTCCAACTTCCCTGAGCATCCACAGAACTCTCGGTGGAGAATAAAAGGACCCCCAGACGGCCTAAGACTGACATTCACCAGAGCACCAGAAATGGGCCGTCATCCCGATGACTGAGCAGTGGGAAAGGCTAGGACCAGCGGACCAAAGGAGGGTCCAACGGAAGCTGTCATTAACTTTGCAGCCGTACCTACTAAGTTTAGCACGTTTCAACTCAGCAGCTCGAGAAGCCTTAACGAATCCTCCAGACAATTGGGTCTGGTGGATTGAGACTTTTGGACTCCAAGAGGAACCCTCGTTCCGACCTCTTAAACGCAGTCCCTGCTGTAGCTGTGGGAAAGAACTTTGTGAGGCATGGGTAGCCTTTAAATGCGGTGGTTGTAATAAGGTTTATTGGAAAGAACAGAGATTAATATATCACTTGTGGTGCGGGAGGTGTGCAGGCGAAGATATTAGGAGGGGAGATTGGGCTCTAGTATTAGAGAAAGAGAACGGAATACCTTATACTCAATTTCGAAGTGTGTATGAGACCCCAGAACAGCTCTTGTTAGCATGGGCCAGGTGGCGGATTAAATGCTGGTTGACAAAGTGCCGACAGATCGCCAATTCCCGTATTCTAACTGCAAGGTGCCGACATACGGTACCACACTTAAGGACCTCAATAGTTGGACCCCTAGGAAAAGACACAGATCCCGACACAGCTTTAAATAATTTGGTTGCTAAATTTGAACGTCTACATATCAAGAAAAGCCGGGCCAATCCGTCCCTGTTATAAACTTTGTAAAAGGTTGCAGTGAGTCCACTGCCAGAGAGGGAGGGTTCCCAGAAAATACTTACCAACCTCGTTGGGAGGGATAACTAGGGAAAGGACTCTAGAGTGTCCTAACCAGTCTCTTGGTCCTTACAAGGATAAGACTCGTAAGCAAATTGATAGCTATAGGTGCGAATCCCTATTAACCCTCTTAAGAGGCGAAGGAGGTGCAAGCCCCATCCCTCAGAAGGTCCTTGCCGCCGAGAAGATAACAGCCCTCGTAACTAGCCGCAAACTAGTTGACGAGCGAGGCGGAAGGATACTTAACGAAAGGATGGACTTGCACAAAATGGGAGCACCAGTAGAGTTTACAAGCAGGGATCAAAAGGGCCAAGGGACTCAAGTTGAAGAAAGGGTGAAACTGGACAGGCTGATTATTCACACCCATACTGGCAGTGGATGTTACTCAACTTTAATGCGAATATTGATGATATGGCTATTGATTAAGAAAACATCAGGGGGCAGCGTAAGCCATGAACCTTTCAGATGGTCACTTATCAGGTGGGAAGATCAACGAACCATAGCAGCAACCACAACTTCAGGAGTCCCCTCCTTTAGGTGTCAGCTGTGTGACATTATCCAGGCTAAACCCTGTTTAAACAAGATAGGGTTTTATATGTGCCCAGCGTCGAATCCAGGGAAACCATACTGCAACTATCCTGGACACTTCTATTGTGGATATTGGGGATGTGAAACTATAGCTCATGGCTTTACCCCAGGAGGAGGGAGGGACCCATATGTAAGAGTCGGATGGTACCCATGGGGCTGTACCCCTCCCCGATTTGATTTTGCCGGCGGAGTGACAACGGGGGGGGACTGCCAGTCCATTCAGATAAACGTGACCAGTGACAAAATTGATGACCCAGTTTGGGTCACAGGAAAAACCTGGGGGGCAAGATTATGGGAACCAGGAAAGGATCGGGGGGGGCATTTTCTGATAAGGAAGGAACCAGTTCCTCATGACCCGGAACCCGTGGGGCCGAACCCCGTACTTACTGAAGAAGGGAGTAAGAGAGAAAAAGGCAATGATTCATTGATAGAAAATCTTGCAAGGAAGCCGACTCAGTCGGGAGATTGGCCACTAACAGCTCAACCCGCTCGGGAGTATAGTATGCTGTGGAAAGTGATGCAAGCTACATTCAGAGTTCTCAATACTACAAACCCAAATTTAACCAATGAATGCTGGTTGTGCTATACTGTTAACCCGCCTTTTTATGAAGCCTTAGGAACTACAGCAAAACCTAGGAGAATTAACGGAACCAATCCACGGGAGTGCCTTTGGAAGAGAGGCCAGGACAGAACCCCAGGGATATCAATAGTTCAGGTAACAGGGAAAGGGAGGTGTGTAGGAAAAATTCCATCAGATAAAAAACACCTGTGTGAAATAGATATGACAACCGTGAAATCTGAGAAACCGGCTAAGTGGCTTCTTCCTGCAGTGAATGCCAAATGGGTATGTAATACACTGGGGGTCACTCCATGTATATCTATACCTAATTTCAATGAGACATCCGAATATTGCATACAGGTTGTGATAGTTCCCCGAATTATATACCATCCAAAGGAATATATATACGAACATCAGAACACTCCTGAACACCATTTAGTGAAACGAGAACCCTTTACAGCCACAGCTCTCACAGTAGCCGTCCTATTGGGCTTAGGAGGAGCAGGAGTAGGAACAGGAGCAGCTGCCCTAATAAATCAGCAAAGGGGTATGAAAGACTTGAGAGCCTCAGTCGACGAAGATCTAAGTAGAATCGAAAAGGCAATAGATGGGCTAGTCAAATCAGTAAGGTCTTTATCGGAAGTAGTACTCCAGAACAGACGGGGATTGGATATATTGTTTCTACAACAAGGAGGGTTATGCGTAGCATTGCGAGAGGAATGTTGCACATATGCAGACCACACTGGAATAGTGATAGATACCATGACCGGCAAGATTATGGGAACCAGGAAAGGATCGGGGGGGGCATTTTCTGATAAGGAAGGAACCAGTTCCTCATGACCCGGAACCCGTGGGGCCGAACCCCGTACTTACTGAAGAAGGGAGTAAGAGAGAAAAAGGCAATGATTCATTGATAGAAAATCTTGCAAGGAAGCCGACTCAGTCGGGAGATTGGCCACTAACAGCTCAACCCGCTCGGGAGTATAGTATGCTGTGGAAAGTGATGCAAGCTACATTCAGAGTTCTCAATACTACAAACCCAAATTTAACCAATGAATGCTGGTTGTGCTATACTGTTAACCCGCCTTTTTATGAAGCCTTAGGAACTACAGCAAAACCTAGGAGAATTAACGGAACCAATCCACGGGAGTGCCTTTGGAAGAGAGGCCAGGACAGAACCCCAGGGATATCAATAGTTCAGGTAACAGGGAAAGGGAGGTGTGTAGGAAAAATTCCATCAGATAAAAAACACCTGTGTGAAATAGATATGACAACCGTGAAATCTGAGAAACCGGCTAAGTGGCTTCTTCCTGCAGTGAATGCCAAATGGGTATGTAATACACTGGGGGTCACTCCATGTATATCTATACCTAATTTCAATGAGACATCCGAATATTGCATACAGGTTGTGATAGTTCCCCGAATTATATACCATCCAAAGGAATATATATACGAACATCAGAACACTCCTGAACACCATTTAGTGAAACGAGAACCCTTTACAGCCACAGCTCTCACAGTAGCCGTCCTATTAGGCTTAGGAGGAGCAGGAGTGGGAACAGGAGCAACTGCCCTAATAAATCAGCAAAGGGGTATGAAAGACTTGAGGGCCTCAGTAGATGAAGATCTAAGTAGAATCGAAAAGGCAATAGATGGGCTAGTCAAATCAGTAAGGTCTTTATCGGAAGTAGTACTCCAGAACAGACGGGGATTGGATATATTGTTTCTACAACAAGGAGGGTTATGCGTAGCATTGCGAGAGGAATGTTGCACATATGCAGACCACACTGGAATAGTGATAGATACCATGACCGAGCTCAGAAAACAATTGGAGAAGCGAAAAAGGGAAAGGGAGATCATCCAACGCGGATCCTCCCATGGGGGATGGAGCTGGAGCAGCACATGAAGCTCTTCCCACACTCGGGGCACTCACAGGGCTTTCCTTAGTGGCGCCTCCGTTGGTGTTGGGTCAAGGTTGAGCTCTCTGAGAAGCTCTTCCCACACTTCCCACACTCGTAGGGCCTCTCCCCGGTGTGGATGCGCCGGTGCCTGGTGAGGGAGGAGTTGTGCTTGAAGCCCTTCCCACCCATTCTCGGAATCAGCAACCTCCTCATGTAAAGGAGCTGTAAAAACTTCGTCAGTGATTTGAAGTAATTCAAACACTTTTAGCTCTACTTCTTAAAAACTCTTTGAAAATCAGTAAATCATGCCAAAATGGCAGAATTTGTTGCAAAAAGGAAGTTTCAAAAATTTGCCCAAACTTTTCTTAAAAAAAAAAAAAAAAATTTCATACTTCTTATGCTATCATTAAGTGACAAACCTTCAATTGCAAACAACTCACTTTGATTACATTAAACAAGAGAGATAAGCAGCTCTGTTTCTTTTCAGTTATTGGCTACAAGAAGAAAAGCTTAAAATTTAGTAGCCTGGGATTGGAAACATCTCTGAAGATCCAGTAACAAGTCAAGTAAGTAACGGATATTTTCCAATTTTTGTTTTTGTAAGAATCCCTGCTTTTCAAAGAAAAAAATATTGTTCCAGTTTCTTTGATGGCTACCTCATTTTGCAGGTATTTAAAAGAAAACATTTAAAAATTAAAAAATAGATTATATATTACTTTTTCTCATTTTGCTTTTGGCTGCATATTTTCATATAAAAATTATTTTTAAACACACTAAACATTGAAACAATATTATTGCAAAAACATTATTTCATACAAGAATAGCAGATAGCAATGATCACTTGGAAAAAAAAGTGCAATTTATTTATATAAGTTGATAGCCCAGAGGAACCCCAGAACCATAAAATAAATACCCATAACATTACATGAGATAAATGCAGCTTCTGCAGAAGTCATTTTCAAAGCCTAATTAGAACTTTTTTTTTATTTCTGACAGAAATCTACGGCTTGAATTAGCAAATAATAATAAATATTTATTATTCAGATTAAATTTAGATTTTTTCCTTTACCCTTTGAGACATACCTGGAATGGGAATGGAACACATACAGTGTATTTTTAATATTATAGGCAGAGAAAAATCTTCAGTGTAGCAATATTTTCATATTAATATATTCTCTATGCTTTACTAGGATATTTGCAGAACATGTAACATGTTAGGTCACTGCAGTGTGTCCCAGAACCAACATATCATTTTTAGCAACAATCTGTGGCTACAGTAGCTGGGTATGGCCAGTACAGTGCACAGAAAGTATTTTCTGTATTCAGTTGGTTTTTTGACATTATCATATCCTTTAACACTTTGTCAATAAAAAATCCAACTATTTTTTTTACATAGTATAAGAGAAATGCCAATAATTCAGTTACAGAAGATTCATTCCTATCCAAAAAAATTAATGTCATTTAGCAATGCCAGAGATTCAAGCTCAGCATAGAAGATAAAAGTCCAACAATATGTTTGCCTGTATCCGGCAACCTCACAGGCCAATAATTTTGTCAAAGGTTATATATGCAATAACATATATGAACATGTCTCAACCTTCATAATTATGACACAACTCTCAGAATGTATAGAAGATATTTCAATTGTAGAAAAATTCCATTTTGAGAGCATTGTGATAAGTCTTCCTATAGCTCACTGTAACAAGATTTGGGGTTTTTATGAAGATGAATTTTATGCAGCACACAGATCAGTCAGAGCTGAAAGGGTGAATAAATTAAACCCATGTTGCACTTTAATGTGATGTGATTGCTGATTGACAAGTATTGCAATATGTAAACATTCCATTCTGAGCCACCAGTTAAGATCCAATTAGCGAGAGATGCCTCTGCCCAAATTAAGGGGCAAACAAGACCATATGCTGAAGTCAGTAATATGGGTTTTATTTAACAGTAAATGTGAGGAAGAGAGAAGGAAATCGAAGAGAAAGAAATAGAAGAAAGAGAAAGGAAAAAAAAGAGGGATGGGGAGGAAAAGAGAGAAGGGGAGAGAGATAAAGAGGAAGGAGGGGGGACAGAGAAAGAGAGAAGGAAGGAAAGGGAGGGAGAGCAGTGAATAGAGAGGGAGAGACGGACACAGAGAGAGAGAGAAATCAAGCTATCAAGAGATAGTCACCACCAGTGTACTGGTGGTCCTTCTTCACCCTGGGCTTCCTTGTGGTGGGGGCCCCAGGGCTGTTCTTCCAGAGGGTACCATCTTTATACAGCCCAAGTTTCCAGGTATCCACAGAGGTATATTCCCAAAACTTGGGATGATCTTTGCATGATCAGTGATATGTGTATGAGCAGTTTGCCTCAGTGGGAATTCTTGTCTGGGTATGTTAAACAGAATGTTCTTACTAGATCTCACTTCTGCAAGGGCTGGAATTAGTGCCCTCCAGTCTCAGATTCCTCCCTTCCGTGCTTATCTCAAGTTGTCATTGTGGGAGCTTATCTTATGTCATGTTCCTTCTGTGGCCTTGACAGTGTTTGAGACAGGTAACTGTGCCCTTGACAGTGTTTGAGACAGGTAACTGTGCCCTTTAAGACCTTACAATATTCTGTAACTATTTGTTATTTCCCTGTTTCTTGCTAATGGCTTATTCAGTTAATCCTTACCTTCCGACATGAATTCGAATGCCAGTAATTGTCTGACAGGTGCACTTGCAACAGGTAGTCTTGGAGGCACTTAAATTTGATCTAATCCAGCCAAACAGTTTCTGTCTCTACTTATTTCCTGTGTTTCTGAGCTTCAGGGTTGGAGAGGGTTTTTTGTTTTGGGATTGGTTTTGGTTTTGTTTTGGAGTTGTTTTTCATGGTTGGTTGGGGTTTTTTGAAGGAATAATAGGTTCAGAACAGAAATGGGAATCAGAGTATTAAAGGGTCATGTCTCTTATATTGTATTCTATCCAAGTGTCTAGTTTTCTTATTAAAACACCTTGTTTTTCCAGGATGTGTATCAGATATGTTGATGAAATTTATTGTCTCTAAATCTGAGCCCCAAGCTACTAATTTTCCACCTTATTCATCTGATTCAAACTCCAACAAGAGTACAGCACTGCTGTATTACAAAAAGTTATGTAGATTATGTTGTACTTCAACAGGCAAACACAAAACCTGGTAGTAGCTTCAGCTGCTTGCTGGTGTGGTGATGATATTTTCTGTCCTGTTATGGCTGCTTGGATGTTCAAAAGAAAGTTGAGGTTGAAGGTATAAAAAATGATGCTTTTTATGGCAGACAGGCAAAGGCATGGGCAATCAAAGAGCTGCTGTCATTTTTGGCTGAAGACCAAGCAACTTGGAAAAATTCATTGGAATTCTTCAGTCCACCTTTATACAGAATGAGACTTATAGTCAAAATTATTTTTAATAATCACAATTTTACAATGGTAGGCTCAAAATGCTGAAGATACATTTTATGTATTAGGAGTTAAAATATCAGATTCAGAGGCTTCTGGCAATGTCTTTGGTGTTGCTATAATTTCAGCATCACCTGACAGCTTTAATAAAGATTAGTGAGTTATTGCAAATAAGTTGCTTATCATGTAGCTTTGCACTGGAAGAATATTTACTGAAATTAATGTCAGTGTTAGTGACAGTGAAACCATTTGGCAAATCTAGCAGGACATTTAAAAATTAATAGAGAAATAATAGATGTATCTTGCCCTCCTTCTCCCTGTAGTGTATAAACTTGAGGATTCTCATATCAGGTAAGCCTAAGTCTCCCATCTAATCTAAAATAAATTTTAATAATTAATCAGATATAAAAGTATCAATATCTCTTCTGAATTCCAGATAGCAAGCTGCCCAGAGTTACCGTGTTCAGATAAACCTTAAACATATTATCTTTGACCAGTACTTCTCTCCTATTTTCTGTGAGGGGCTTGTGGGCCGTGAAATACAAAGGCACAGTTTCCTCTATGCTTGTTAAAGATTGTCCATCCTTATTTTCTTCAGATATCAGAGTACAGTTCAGCCTAAGTGGAGAAAAATACTGCTTGTTTTCATTGCATCAAGGAAGATCCGTGTAGACTACAAAATTTCCAATTTACGTGGTTGTGTGCCAAGTACCAAAGATGAAACTGGGAGTGGGGAAGGCAGGAGTAGGGCTGAGGCATTTAAATCACACTACACAAGTGGCAGAGTGATCCATACTAGGCAGAGCTTACTGGGATGCTGCTGCTGTCCCATGGATTATATCAGCCAGAATGGATCACTTGAGCAAGGCAAAGAAATTCCCTTTACCTCTGCTTTTGAATGTGTCTATCCACTCCTCTGTCCAAGTTTTATGTCACATCAGGACAGGAATTGAAACTCTAAATTATAATAAAATTAGGTTTGCATTTTGGAGGGGAAGGTTTTTTGTTCTTTTTTTCTTGTGCACTTCAGTTTTTTTCATGTATTACAAAATTACCTAATTAAATAATTGACTCCATAAATTACCTAAATTACCTAAAAATTACCTAATTACCTGAACTAATGTCAGGCATTCAGTATCAGATTTCTTGTTTTTCAGAATACTTTCCAAAAAGTATATAAAGGATTTAAATAAATCCTGATAAACATGAATCTAAGGGAAGTTTTCTGAAATGTAAAGTCCATATGTTTGCTTCTACATTTCAAACCTTAATAGTACAAGCAGTTTCCTTTTAGCATTCACTCTGGATTTTTATTTACAATCTGCTGAGAACAGAAAAAAAAACGTTAGTGTGAGTTGCCTTACCTTAAACAGTGGACAATGAAGCCAACACGTAAAACCATAGATTAACATGTCAGAGTGTTATTGTACTCTCTCAAAATAGTAGGTCTACTTTAAACAAGACTGTGATTTATGATTCAGAATAACACAAACTCTCCTTCTAAGTCAATAAAGAAGACATCTAGGAAGAGTAGATCTAAGCTTCTACAAAGCTCAGAGATTTTACCTTTTATAAAGTCAAATTATCTGCTTTCAGCACTGAAATTGTGCTTCATTTTGACAAAAGGATCTGATCACTGGTGTACAACAGCCTGACTTAACCACAGGCTTCACTGGAAGTGTGCAGGAGAGGTTTTGTGAATATGGCATTAAGAATAACTGGTGGTTGTCTTGTTTTGGTGTGAGCAAGAAAATAAATACAAGTAAATGTAAATGATGGTTCTTAGATGGCAGCTCCTATTAAATTTGTGTCTTATATTAATAATTATATTTCTGAGAAAATGAAAGAACTGTAAATGCTATTGATTTCAGAATTTAGTTGAAGCTATAAGAACCACAGGGTTTGTCACATACAGAGTAAACAAAGGTGACTTGACAGATCTTCACACACAATGGAATTCAATGCGGTTGAAGCTGAACCTGCAGAAGGCAGAGCAAAAACATGAATGACAACTGTCTAGTGTTCACAAAGGTATCAGATGCTGGCATGACATTTGCTGATGTGACTCACAGAATCACACAATCACAAGGTTAGAAGAGACCTTCAAGTTCATCAAGTCCAACCCAGCCCTAACACCTCAACTAAACCACGGCACCGCGTGCCACATCCAG